ACAGGAAAAAAGGAGCAAACTACACAAGAGCACCCGCCAACCACCCACTATTTTTTTAAGTCACCATCGACACATTATGGATCATTTTGGAAGCAGATGGTGAATGGTATATTTGTAAGCAACAACAACAACAGCAACAACAACAACAACAACAACAACAACAACAACAACAACAATAACAAACAAATCCACTACAAAGAAAGAAAGAAAACCAACTCACAAAATGTATTCAGTTGTCATCATCACGTTTGTAATGTAGTCCTGATGGGGTTTTTTACTTTACTTTTCTTCAGATCTCTACATATTGTACTAAACTGCTGCCCATGCACTGAACCGCACGAGAGAAACTAGAAAGTCTACACGATCATTGCATGCTACACAATGACCAAAACTGAACAAATTCATCGCTAACTTAACAAATTCACCGCGAACTTAACAAATTCATCGCTAACCTGACAAATTCATATTTAAACTTAACAAATTCATCTTTAAACTTAACAAATTCATCGTTAACTAAGACTAAAGATAAACCACAAAGAAAAACCAGTATGTATCTTTCTCAACTAGATCGAACTAACGAAAAGTAAAACAAAATACAAAGCAGCGTTCATCATAGTTCATGAATGAAAAATAATAATAAAACTAAAACACCTCTAAACGAACTAACTAATCTATTTAAAAACAGTTCACAACCACTTTGAGTCACGTTGTTAAAATAAAAATGAAGGAATGGTTCTATAACAAAATAATTATGTTGTTTCAAAATTCAAATACCATATTGCACATTGGAATGCTGCGGTCACTTGTAAAAATACCCACCGCACCAGCTCATCGTCTTGACCGATAAGTGACCACACACTGCGTCAACTAGTACCACGGAGTTCAAAGCAAAATAATGAGAGTTGATTTTTTTTTTTTAACCTATGAGCGTCATAAACAAATATTTGGAGACAGCATTGTGAAATCTGGCGCTCGTCAAAATAATGAAATCGAAGAAACTGGTATTTTTTCCAGTCTGTTTGGCAATTTGTAAATATTTTTTAATCGAATTTTTGTGGGGGGGTTTTTACTCGACCTTTTTAGGTCAATTTAAAGCACATTTCTGTGTGGATTTTATTGAAAAACGTTGCTCACAGGGACAAAAACCTGTAAATGTTCAGTTTTCAAGGACTTTCTCAAGCTATGGTAGTCACCAAACTTTGGCAGCCATTTTCTCGCTAATTTTACCTCTGAACCCTATAACTTCATATGCCCCAAAAATTGACGAACGCCTGATTCCACCGCACAGTGGCACAAATGTTTGTTGTTTGTTTGTTTGTTTTTTTGTACCTGTGAGCTTCACGAAATACTATTATGTTTCTGATTCACTGGCTGAGCTGGTAACGTATTGCTGACAACCGTGTAGAGATCATGCATTTCCTCAGTAATAATCATCATCACGATGAGGAATAGCATTTGTATTTGTATAACGCACACCCCCGCTCGACAGCAAGTTCTATGAACGTTACATATATATGGTGTTAAAAACGATTCTATGTTTGCGAAATATATGTCAGACTTTTTTTAGAAAATAAAAATAGACACACGCCCTTTTTCCCCTAAAAAAATAATTTAAATGAATAAGCACGCTCTATGTACTTTACAATATTGCGTTACAGGATTCCATGTTTGCCAAATAAATTATGTCAGACTTGTTTCAGAAAACAAAAATAGACAAGCGCCAACCCCCCGTCCCTCTTTTTTTTTTACCCCTGCCCATTTTTTGAAAGAAAAAAATAGAAACAGATCTGTCTCAGTGACTAATTAGATCTATAGACAGTTCACGGCCTCACCAACGATCCCTATCATTACTTCGTTTATTACAAAGCTAGCGACTTTGCCCACATCAATTAACGGTCAACCCTGCCTTCATCACATGAGACTCGAACTCAAATCTCTAGCGTACAAGGGAGGAGAGCCGAGACACTACTACTACACCACAGGCGCTAGCCTACTCAAAGCGTAGAAATAAGACTAATAAATTATAACATACAGTGCAGTCTCTCTTTAACGATCTTCAATATAACGACATCTTCTGTATAGCGACATTGTGCACAGATCCCTATTTTTCTCTTACATATCAGCAATATGTTTGGTTGCCTTTCAATAGCGACCTTTCTCTTATAACCAAATTTTTTTCTGGTCCCGACGATGTTGTTAAAGAGGTGCAGCTACTGTGTCTAAATACATAAATTTATTTTGAGCATATCCATAACTTAGAATGTTTAGTCCACTTTGCAAGACAAATTAGTAGCTAGCTTACAATGGCATTAAAACCATCAACCACTACACAACCTTTGTTACGTCTACTGAAATTGTACGACTGTTAACGACCAAGACAAATTTCTCCCTGCAAGATGAATAAAGATTGTCATTGTCCTTGTCAGCACAAAACTGGCATCACATTTAAGCCTCGGTGTCTTTTAAATCTTTCAATATCACGCACTGACGTATGGGGTAATCCTTCCCCCTTTTGCTATTTCTATCCCTGACTCCATTCTGCGTTCTAAAAATAAACTCTCAAACGTTAAAAATAATAATAATAATAATAACAATAATAATAATAATAATAATAATAACACAACAACTTAAGATGCAACTGGTGTCCAAGCAGAACTGTCCATAGAAACAGGAAGATCGATGTACACATGACAGTGGACAGTGGACATAGCGAAATATCTGTGGTTCATCAACACGAGGAGGGGTAGGGAGACAGCATCACTTACAGTCGAAATAATCACAATGGAATCAATTAGTAGAATAATAATATAATATAATATAATTAAGCAGCAATAATAATCAATAAAATAATATTCATAACACAGTAATATGTACAACATATTCCAACGGACCGGGAAAAAAAGAAATGAATATTCATATAACTGAAGATGAGGATAGGGGAAAATTAAGGGAACACAAAACAAGTGTTATTTAAATCATTTTTTTGTAAAACCCATTAAAAACATAATAGGAATGCTGACTTCAAAGATATGACGTCAAGAATGTTTAAGATTCCCTGGTCACACCGCACATAAACAGCATTACAAATATATATAATATGTTATGTTACCATATAAGTAATTCATATAATATATAATAAGCAGCAATCTTTAAAATTAATTTATTAAAATTTTCAAAAAATGAAAACAAAATTAGAATGCCCGTGCCATGACAATAAATATAATTAATTATATAATAATAATAATAATAATAATAATAATAATAATTAATAATAATAATAATAATAATAATAATAATAATAAAAGCCATCATCATCATAAAAACAATGAAGAGTCAATAACTCAATGGCAAACCAACGAGCCGCGTGCAGTAAAGAACTCAATAGACCATAGGCCTCAACCTGAAGTCAAGACATTACATTGTATTGCACTTCCTAAGTCTGTCTTGCCATAGATACACTGCTACAAGGGTCTATTTTAAGAACGTCTATTCACCATCGAGTGGTAGTTTGGTTGATCATTTTTATTCTTTTTTTTTAAATTAGGGGTTCCACGCCCCCCCCCCCCCCCCCTTTCTCAAAATTAAAAAAAAAAAATTCAGACCAATGAGGAGGCGGCATGCTTCCGACCTTGCCTGTCAGTGTCAGTGGGGCAACCTCGGGCTGGGAGGCTAGGAGAAAACATCCCAGCAGAAAGATCGAGATCAGATACTCGATTAAAAATTCGAAGTGACTACCCATTCACTACATGATCACAGAAGCCTGCCCCTACAACTGTGTGTTCAGACTAAAAATAGGAACACTGAGGGGCTGTGCTATTAATCAAAATTATTTTTAAAGAAGAAGGAAAAAAAAAGCCCCGACAAAAAAACAAAGAAAAACAAACAAAACTGTATCCAACAAAAACCAATGTTGGGACACAATCACACGTGTACATATAGAGAGAGATTTTTGCCTATTTTTGTCTCATTAATTCACGGATACGACAGTCAGAAGGGCCCACATGTATGTACAGGGAACGATAAATCACAGCTTCGTACAGATAATAATGTGTTGCTTTTCTCTCCACAGAACAATAGAGCAAGTGGTGTGGCATTGCTTTATATTACAATGGGCAACGTGATACGACCACAACGTAGTGAAGATGGTACAACAACAACAGACACTTGTCACGTCACAGATACGACCGATACAGAAAAGACCGACACAGAAAAAACCGATGCAGAAATGACCGACACAGAAAGGACCACCACAGCAAATGACCATCACAGAAATGACCGATACAGTGAAGACCAGCACAGACATGACAGCAATTCGATCAGATCACAGTTTCCTTATCTTTACAACGTAGAGATCCCAACTCAAACGTCCGGCGGCCAAAGGACCACGCGTTTTGAGACTGACTAGAAGAAGAAGTCTGTGGGGTTTTACTTCACACTTGAGTACGTTTGACAGGTTTTAAAAGCCTTTTCGGAAGATTCAGAAGACTTTCAGGGGTACAATCTATCTCATAATATGTGCTTTTGATGTGTTTCCCAACAGGAAAATAGTGCCATCGACAACGAAGTAGTTCTGAACCACACGCCCAAAAAACTGACAGCTCATCGTTGTCACCCGTTATAGTACACACATACACACACACACACACACACACACACACACACA